CCGCCCGCGGCTGCGCCCGCCCCGCCTCCAGCGCCAGCGCCGGAGCCACCGGCGCCCGCGCTGCCGCCGACGGCCCCGCCAGAGCCAGCAGCGCCATCGGGGTCGCCAGAGAGGCTGCCGCCGCGGCGCGGCGGAGACTCTCCCAGCACAGCCGGGGAGGCGGACGAAGCGCGGCCGGCAGGCCGCGCCGCCGCCGCCGCAAGCGCCCGCCCGGCCGCGAGGGCGGAGCGGGCACCAGGGCCCGCCGCGAGGAGCTCAGACGACAGCAGGGGCTGGGCTGGCGGAAGCATCCGAGGGCCGCCAGCGACGACGAGGAGGAGGTCACGGACGCCGAGTCCAGCGTGCCGACGCTGCTGGACGAGGTGGACGCGGAGCCGCCGCGGCGCGCGGCCGGCGAGGCTGTGCGAGACGCGGCGGCTGCAGGGAGTCGAGCTCGGGGCCATGACCACGGCCGCGAGGGGCGTGGCCGGGGGCCCGATGCCCCGACAGGGGCCCCGTGACCGGCGACCCGCGCGGGGGGGGGTCGCCCGCCCCCTCCGCCGCGATGCGCGGGGCGTGGAGGCGCCTGGTCTTCAGGCGGCTCGCGAGACATCTTTCCGCTGCCGCGTGGGCGCCGCGGCCGACTTGTGACTGGAGGCCGGGGCCGCTCGCTCGAGGCGCAGCGCGATGACGCTCTCGCCCCTTTGAGTTGGCTCGCCGGTTCCGATTTCGCAATTGGGGCCGCCGTCGCGGAGGGGGCGGCAGGGCGCGGGGCCGTGGCCGCCCGCGCTGAAGGGCTCCTGGAGAGGACGCAGCCGGCGCTGGGTGACGAACCCGCCCCATCGCCTCAAGAGGCCTTCCGCGACCTTCAACAGGGGCGAGCCGCGTGCGAACGCGAGCCCGTCAGCAGGGCGCTTGCGCCCTACCGTCGCGACGCGGTGTCGCTCCCCGAGTCGGTCGTCGAGCGCGGTCTCTTCTCGGAGCTGCGCGACGCCTGCTGGCATTTTGCGGGGGGGAATGGCCGACGAATGCTTCGATCGGCGGAAAAATAGACAGAGGTTAATTAATGCGCGACAGCCCCGCGACTCCATGCGTGGGCCCTGGCTGGAGCTGCAGCCGGCGGCGGTGCGCCGACTTCATATCCAGCCTGCAGCAGCGTGGGCTTGTGACGTTCGGCCGAAGCTGCGTCGAGCGGACAGGGCTGTTCTTTGTTTGGAAGAAGGGGCGTTCGAAGATGCGCGTGATTCTGGGCTGCAGAAGATGCAATCAGCGGTCGTTTGAAGGCGCGTTCCACGGCCACGGGTTGATTATGCCAGAGTGGCTCCCGCGATATTTTGGCCTGCCCGACGCGCCGGCCGAGGGCGTCGGCGTGGTCGGCCAGGTGATCGATGGGGCCGTCGCCGCTGCAGGAGACGCGATCGCGCCGTTGGCGCGGGCGCTGCCCACGGGGTCCACGAGGGGTCTTGTTCTGCCAGCGGATAGGCGAGAGTCTTTGCCAGCGGGTGCCCGCGCCCCACGCCTCGGAGCCGCTGAGGGGCCGCGGTCGGCCTGCCGTTCTCGTCCTGAGCAACGGTCTGCACGAGCCCAGGCACTACGCGCACGGCACAACCTGGGGGCGATGGGCGATAGTCGCTCGGAGGTGGAGCACGCACTCGCTGACATGGCGAAGGTCTTCGAGAGCTCCGGCCTGCTGGTGCGCGGAGAACAGATGATGGGCGACGCCGCGGAGGCGCCCGGGGTTGTCCTCGACGGAGAGTTTCAGCGCACCTCACTCACGATGAAGCGGCACTGGCGGCTGCACTCCGCACTCCGACACCTTGAACCGCGGGAGGGCCAGCGGGGCGGTGGTGAGGGTCATCCTGGGACACTGCGCCTTCTGCGGCCTGGTGCGGCGACCCGTCTTATCGTGCTTCCATTCGGTGGCAAAATTCATCTCCTTAAATTATTTGGTTCAGCAGCCGTTGTGGCCGTCCGTGAGGGGCGAGCTGCGGGCTTCTCTCGGGATGATGCCATTCTCGCGCTCGGACTGGTGGCCGAGATGGAATCGACTGGTGAGCGCCAGTGGCGCCTCGGAGTGGGGCTTCGGGGTCTCCGCCGGCTTCTTTGGGCGATGAAGAGGTGAAGGCTGCTGGCCGCGCTCGCGAGAGGGGCCGCTGCCGTGACGCCCGAGCGGCGCAGGCGCGGGGGCACGCGCTGACGGCTGCTGGAGTTCGGGAGCTCGCGGGGCTGCCGCCGCCGGCCGAGGTGGAGCTTCCAGGAGAAGAATTCGATGGGCTTGAGGCCGCGATGGCCATCCGCGATCCCCGATCCGCGATCGCCGTGTGCGCAGCTCTGGGTGAGAGGGCATGAGACGGCACGCCCCGCCAGTCGCGTCATGCCTGAACATCAGACGCTGTTAGAACCCTTGCCCTCTTCGGTTCTCGAAAAGGCGTTGCGGCCGCAGTGTGTGGCGGCCTGCGCCCGCCGGGTTTGGTCTGATCCCAGGTCGTTTTCGTTAAAGTATGTTTTGCAACGGGGTGTTTTGCCAGAGATAGTTGATTGTAAACTTCCGGTTGATGGCAAAGGGACTCCACCATTCCAGAAATAACCAAATAGGAGAACGAGGAGGAGGAGGGAGGGAGGATGAGGAGGAGGATGAGGAGGAGGAGGAGGAGCAGGAGCAGGAGGAGGAGGAGGAGGAGGAGGAGGGAGGAGAAGGCCTCGGCTGGACTGGCGCGTGGCCGCTGGGTGCCGAGGTTCTGGGGGCGCCTGGAAGCGGGGGCGGCCCATCCTGGTGCTGGAGGCGCGGGCGCTGGCGATGTCGCTGCGACGCGCGGCATTGGGCTCGTTCGGGAAAGATGTCTGCCGAGTCCTCCTTGCTGGTGACGTGCGTGTGTGTCTCAGTTCTGATCGATTCAGAAGCAGGGATTTCAAATTGTTCGCGTGTTCGCTGCCTACTGTCTCGCTCACGATATAGAAACAACGGCCCGCTGGGTACCCGGCGAGCTTAATAACTCGGACGAGCCGAGTCGAATCTGCGATCGGTTTCCTAGCGCATCGCGCCATCTCACCCGCCACCTGGATGTTAATACCAGTAGGGGATAAGGGTCCTTCGGGGCGGGGAGCACCTGATCCTGGCGAAGGGGGGTTAAAAGTACACAGTAGCAGCAGTGATATTGTCGACGGCAAGGGATGCGAGCATAACCATCAATGTCGCTCTCAACGTTTCGTAGGTTTTTTCGGCTCAGTGCCCTGCTGGCCACAGCCTGGCGCACGAGGTAGGCAGCCCCGCGGGAGTTGGATATCCAGCCGCGGCCGCGGGAAGGCCAACGGCCGAGATCGGCGCTGGAGACTCGGCGCGAGGCGCCAGGCTGAAGGGCAGCTCAGGCTGCGGCTCGACGGCCGGTAAGACGCCGCTAGCCAATCTCGGTGGCGAGCTGGCTGTCCCTCATCGGCGGCGCGACCGTGGAGCTCGGCAGGCAGCCGACCCAACCCGCCGCGATCGCGAGTGGGCGGCGCCGCGCGCTCGCGGCCGAGGCCGCGTTGCAGGCCGGGCCGCGGGCGTTGCAGAGTCGACCAGAGTTGCTTCGTCAGGGTGCCCCCCCGAGCTGAGTCGCGAGTCGGGCAACGACGAGCAGCAGACAAAGTCCGCGCTGGGCCGAGCAGCTGGATCGGCCGCGGCCGACGCGAGCGGTGGTTCCAGAGGGCGCGACCGCGCGGCGGGGCGCGGCGAGGCGTGGCCAACGCCGAGACGACGGGCAGCGCGGCTGGCCGCTCGGTCGACGGCGCGCACAGCGACAAGGCCGCCAAGACCGCGGCCATGGCCGAGCCTGCCAAGGTCACAGGCGCCGCCCGTCCCGACCCGCTGAAGAGCACCGAGGGCGCGCTCCAGGCGCGTGCTGCGTGCTGGCCGAGCGAGGCTGATGGCCTCCAGACGGCCGTTGAAAGCGGGCCGTTGCACCTGGCGCCTAGTCCGCAGGCTGGCCGATCAGACGGCGGCAGGATCGCGCTGAAACCAGCCGAGTCTCTCGCCGGCAGCGTTGTCGCGACCCAGCCAGCGGCGATGAATGGGCTGATCGCCGACATACAGGCAGGGAAAGTGCTTGGCATGATGATGGGGCCGCCCTGTGCGACGCTCAGTATTGCCAAGCGCCGTGCCAAGGCGTTGAGGACGCAGGAGTTCCCGATGGGTGTTCCTGAATTGTGCAGCCAGGATAGGGCTACTGGGAAGCAAGGGAATCAGCTGATGCGCGCCGCGGTGCGGCTTACGCGTGAGTTTCACGCCTGTGGTGCGCCGTGGAATCGAAAACCCTCACTCGTCTTATCTTTTCAAAACTTCCGCCATGATGGCGCTGGGCGAGATGGAGGGAGTTTCCCGGGCTGTTTCAGATTTCTGTCAGTGCGGCATTCGGTGGAGGAAGACCATGCAGCTTGTTTGCGGGCAGGTGGACGAACCCGACCTCTCGCGCCTCCGTCGTCGGTGCCAAGGTAGGGGGCCGTGCTCTCGCACGGGGACCGCCCACTTCGCCCTCGAGGGACACGCCCCCGACGCAGCCAACTGGACCCGCATCGCACAGGCCTGCCCGGCCTCTTGAAGCCGAGCGTTGGTACAGATCGTACTTGCTCCTACTAGGGCCACGCGGCCCTAGAAAACTTTTACTATCCAAGAGAACATCTGCTTTCGGGGATGACTCGGGATTCGTTGTTCAAGCCGAATTAATTATATTTTATGTATGTCGCCCGTCGCTTTCGCATCGCGCTGCCGCAACGTTCTTCTGAGACATATCACCGCTACTGTAAAACGTGCTCTATGATGATGATGATGATGATGATGATGATGATGATGATGATGATGATGCTGATGATGATGATGATGATGATGACGTTGATGGTGGTGGTGATGACGATGATGCTGATGCTGATGCTGTTGATGATGGTGATGGTGATGGTGACGGTGGTGATGATGAGGGGGAGGAGGAAGAGCAGGCGGAGGAGGAGGAGGAGGAGAAGGGGGATGACCGAGAGGGGAGGCGCCCCCAGAGGCCGCGCTCGAGCGGCTGCGCCAGCGCGTGTCGGGGAACCCTGCGAAGGCCGACGACGACCGAGGCCTTCGGCGCCCCCCCCAGCCGCCCTGCGCGGCGTGGTGGTGCATGGCCCGCGGTGGGCCGCGGCGTCCAGGGAGGCTAGGCCGTTACATGAAGGTTTTGCCTTCGAGGATCGAAGGAGTTGTCATCTCTTCCGCGGCGGAAGGTCGGCGGAAGGCGTCGGAAGTAAAACGAGGCCGCTCCGCTGGCGGAAGCTGGCGGAACGGCGGCGGAAACCGGCAGAAATAGAATCGCGCCGCCGCTGGAGGGGTGCCTCGGTGTCGGGCGGTGCACTGGGGCCCTGGGGGAACTGCATTCTGCCCCTTCCCCTGGGTGAGCAGGTCTCCTGACGAGCAATCTGCCTGGTCTTCCCGGTTGGGGAACCCTCGCATGGGAGTCTTGCCTGGGGGACCGTCTGCGCCGTGCTTCCATTCTTGCCCCCCCCGGTCACGCAGGTCTCCCATGGGCCCCCTTCAGCCTCCCCGGCTAGAGCCTCCCCCCCTGAAAGTCGTGGCTGCTGGGGGTTCTCCACCCACCTGCGGGCCGCATGTTGGCGGGCCGCGGGGTGTTTGGGGAGCGCGGTATTGACGCGCGTTTCCGCTGGCATGAACGAGTGAATGGAGTTTAAATCGCCCCTCAAGAGATGGAAAGGTTTGCGGGTTATGTTTTTCAGAATCCGCCATATGTGGGCGACGCGAAACATCGTGATGGCCAGTTTTTGGTGGCTCCTTTGTCACTGGAGACCGCTTCCCGGTCCCCGGGGCCGTCGATCGAGAGGCGCGGGACGAGCCTCTGGCAGCGCTTGTCTCTGGAGGCGGGTTCCCGGCTCCCAGGGCCGTCGACAGCATGGCGCTGGGCGAGCCTCCAGCAACGTTTTTGTCTCTGGAGGCCGGTACCCGGTTCCCGCGGCCGTCGACAGACAGGCGCGGGATGCGCATCCGGCCGCGGGGAGGTGGTGGTGCCCGGCCAGCGGGGGCCCCCCAGCGAAGTCGCGGGTCTGGCCTCTCGGGGCGGACGTCTTCACGGGTGCACGATCGGCTAGTCCGCGTCCCGTTCTGGGATTTGGCCGACAGTCGGTGGCGGGCGAGGGGGGGAAGTGGGAAGGAAAAGGCCGTCTCAGAAGGCGGCGGACTTCTCAGAAGCCTTCGCGCCTTCTGAGAAGTTTTCCGCGTTTTCGGGGAAGGCTTAGGAAACTTGCCAGAAGGCTGAAGCATTTCCGAGCCTTCTGAGGCGCCTTTCCACCTCCCCCCCCGGGCTCGCCGCCGAGACAGCGGTGTGTCCCAGGCCGCCGCGGCCAAGAACTGTCGGCTCGGACTGGAGGGGGGGATGGGGATGGGGGGGTCAGCGAAATCTGTTGCGTGTAGCAGGTCTCGGCCCCACCGCCAGGCGCCTTCCTCGATGCAGTGGCCTCTCCTGCGCCAGGAGGCGTCAGGCAAACCAGTCATGTGAGTTAATTTGCTCACGCCCCCTTTGTTAGCCGCCCCCCTGGTCTTGAAATTCGACACAGGTGTCACTGGCCCAAGGTGTCTTCAGGACTTCCACGGAGGCTTCCACGGCCTCCACAGCACCACCCCTTACGAAGCCCGGATGGATCTGGGGGGCTCCAAAGTGGAGGGAATAGTTGGGGACATTTTTGGCCAGTGGCACCTGTAACAACTCCTGACGATCGAATAGGGGATGGATTTCAGAATGCATTTACCCAAAATTGATCTCTTTCGTCGACTCTGCAAGGCAGGACGTAGAGTCTTCGTAGATCTGCGAGGACTCGCAATCTTTCCTGCCGATTCGGCGAACCTCTTGGGGTAAGCGGATTCTAGACGCTTCGCGTATCCCCACCAGCCCGTCCAGAAACGACGCCCAGGCGAGTAGAGGGTCGTCCTGAGGGGCTTTTCGGCGTCTTGGGTGCCTCGGGGGGGCCTCTGTGGGCCGTTCGGGATCCTCTTTGGGGCCTCCTGGGGGCCTCTTGGGGCCTCTTGGGGCCATCTTGGGGCCTCTTGGGGCCCTTGGGGGCCTCTGGGGGGCTCTTGGGGCCATCTTGGGGCCATCCTGCGGCCTCTTGGGGCATCCTGGGGGCCTCTTGCGGCCATCGTGGAGGAAATCGATCAAAGAAGAGGGGAGCCTTAATTAGCGTTGCCCCCTGAGAAGGCCAAAATGGGGCCAAAACCATAGTAAAATCAATGTTTTTAGCTTCCTCGCCGAGGCCGTTTTGGACGCTCTGACCGCTCCCCGCCCCTCTTGTCCAGGTCAGTGGGGAGGGGGTAGGGGGAGGGGTAAACCCTTCCCCGAAGGGGAAGAGGGAGGGGTGGAAGAGGAAACTCGTTAAACCACCGACGCCCAGAGGGCTGGTGGGATTCTGTAGTTGGCCCCCCACTCGAGACAAGGGGGGAGGGGGAGGGGGGGGGGCGGCCCGCGGTGGCCTCCTGCGCGCGCTCCGCCATGAACAGTGCGCCCAGCCTGCTCGTGCAGCGGCCGCGCGCCGCGCCCGCCTCCGCCGCCTCGAGGGCTTCTCGCGCTCCCTCCCGCGGCTGCCGGCTCATCGGCGCCGAGCTCCCCCCTGCTGCCCAGCAGTGTCCCAAGGACTCTTGGCATCGCTTGGACGTGTGCATTTTTTCTCGGCGAGAAACCACGAGGGCCATCCTGGACTATCGAGGAAAAAAACACGCACGAAGCCGAAAAATGCACGGGAAATGGACGTCCGAGCGACGGCAAGGGACTGCGCCCAGGCACGGGCGGCGCCGCCGCCTCCGCTGGGCCCCGAGGATCGCGGCGGCCCTGTCCTGGGCGCCGCCGCCCCCCGCGGCCTGGCGCGCCTCCGCCTCGGCACCGTCGTCGGCTCCGCCGCCCTCGGCGCTTCCCCTGGGCCAAGTTACCCAGGTTTTATCGCAGTAAACCTCATCGCTAACAAGATCAACGGCCAGAAAGTCAATGGTAGCAACATGTAATGAGTGTTCTCCTCCGGCGAGCGGGCGTTCGCCGTAATCCAAATCAACAGTTCAATGTCCGCTCTAGGACGTTTCGCGTCCTTGAGCCAGAATTCAGCGATCTTCGTCCTACGACGACGACCTCATAGGTCAATATTCAGGAAAAGCGGGGTGGCCATCCTCGCCGTGTTTGAGGCCATCGAGGCCGTCTTGGAGACGTTGGTTGTGCAGCGGCGGGGCCTTCCAGGTGGCTGGCGCGCTGTGCCGAAGCCCCATGGTGAGTTCTTCGGGAAAAGCACCAAAACCAAGCCGTAGGATTCATCACGCCGGGCACCCCTGTGACAAGACCAGACCACAGGGCCCATCCAGCCACCGTGCTTGGTTTTTGGGTGTGAAGCCTATTTGATGTTCGTTCAGATCTTGTGGAGGCCTCTCGGGGTCTCTTGGAAATAGTTTTGAGCCTCTCGGGGGCCGTCTTGGGGCCCTCTTGGGCCGTCTTGGGGCCCTCTTGAGGGCCTTTTGAGCCGTCTTCGGGCGGTCTTCGGGGCCTCTTGGGCCGTCTTGGAGCGACGGGAAGCCGAAAGGCGCGAACGCTGAAATCCTTTAAACACCAGAAAGGGAAATCACCGAATTTTGCCTCTTTGGGCCCTCTTGGAAGGCCTCTTGGAGGCCTCTGGTGGTGTCTTGGAGGCCTCTTGGACCGTCTTGGAGCCGTCTTGGGCGTCTTGGAGCGATCTGTCAGTGACTGGGAGCACTTTTGGACCATCTTGTGGGTCTCTCGGGGCTCTCTTGGCCCCGTCTTGGGGCCTTCTTGGGCCGCAAAAAGTTATACGACAAGCCCCCGACCAGACGCGAGAAGCCCCAGGAGATTTCGCAATTTGGGATCCAGGCCCTCTGAAGACTCCTCAGGAGTGAGGACAAAGGCTCAGAGGATTGGGCAAATGACCTGAGGGCACGCCCACTCCGTGCCCAGCGGCACGGTGGCGGATAGCAAGTGAAAGGATTATGGGGTCGATGGGATTTGACCCTCGGGCATTGCATCTTGCATCCACGAAGCCCAGGCTTCTATCAGATCTCGTCCGTAGCGACTTGAACCCTGGTTCCAGGGTGGGCGCTGGCCGAAACATTTGGGGATGGTGATGGCGCTTGGTGCGGACGCGCCGATTTCGGCTGAATCGGGGGACCCCGAGGGGCCCAAACCATCCAGTTTCCCACGCCCGCCTCTCAGAGCGCCGCCGATGTTAATCATGTGCTTCCCTCCTGTCAAATCAAGGCGGGCGTTATCACTTCTGTTTTTGGTTAACAAACTCCAAATCGTTGCAATCTCGTCGACGTCGTATGGAAGAGTCCTGAGTTGTGTGCGGTCATGACCTTCAGTGGGTTACCGTTGCCCAGAGGGGCTATCTCTGTTGCCCGGGGCACCATGAGCATGAAAGATAGAGGTTCGAGGATCGAGGAGCAACGACCGAGAGTTGAGGTTCAAGGAGCGAGGTTTTTGGATGTTTCTTTTCTTTTGTTCGGGGCCAGGAGTTTCGGAGGCGTCCAGGGGACCTTCGACCCTTGGGGACCTCCAGAGACATTTGATCTCCTTCCCCATACACCCAGCGCGTGGATTTTTGAACCCGTGGGCCCCAGAGCTATCGATCCATTCCCCGGGGCAGGTTTTTCATCTTGAGTCGTTTTCTGATCCAGGCTGAGAAGAGGGGGGTGTAGCACACTCTTTAGGGAGCGGGCCCAACTCAAGGCTGATATTTCGATAAGTGATCTGGAGAGTCCAGCCAGAGAAATCTAATCTGGAATCCGGAATCCAGAAAATACGATGTATCAGAGTCGGGAGCCTCGAATCCCGAATCCAGAATCCAGAAGACGCGATGAATCAGAGTTGGGAGCCTCCTGAGGTCGGATCCGCAATCCGGAATCCAGAAGATGTGATGCATCAGAGTTGGGAGCCTCCTGGAATCCAGAGTCCAGATACGGGCCGAAGCTTTCTGAGAGGTCGGATCCGGAATCCAGAATCCATCTTCGAATCCAGAATCCGGAATATGGAATCTGGAGGATGCGATGCATCAATGCCGGGCAGCCTCCCGAAAGATCGAGTCCG